CCCCCCCCCCCCGCTGCCAGGCCCCCACACCACCAGCCTCCCAACTTTGATTGCCTGATGCACTTTCCTTGCCTTCCACATGAGGGCGCCCAAGCACCATTTTAGCTCCCGACCTGCAGGTACTGGAGTCGAAAAGAGAAGGAGGGATGACCATTATGCCTTGAGTAAGTACATCAATGTTTTTTATACATCCTTTATATCGTGCTATTCTTGTTAAAATTACAAAGTCGAATGGTTAAGGTAAGCGAGGAATGTTCTGGAAAATGCTCAGGTAAATGTCATGGACGTTTTTTGCAATACCAAGGAGAAGCAATCGTTATATTAGGAATTACACACCCATTAATCACTTTCGTAACACTATGTAGGGATTGTTATTATATTCATCACTAAATTGTTGTCAGAATTGTGAAAAAGAGTGACTGAATCTGATCGCATCAAGTGTGTAAACATGCGTCTATACTGTGACACTGATATCACGTTACTAGCCTGACATATGAATGAAATTTTGATTCGGGGCCTGAGGCATGATAAAAATCAAATAAAATATCACATTAAATATGTTAATTTTATTGGATTCTGTATTTGGCATCTTGTTTGCTCCTTGCTTTTTTAATTTGGGCCATCACACGCAGCCTCTCCACAAGATCATGGATGATGTAAATGCGACGGTTCCGAGATGAGCTGTTTTCCGAGGCGTAACACCATTAGATACTCGTACTCCGAGACTCTTCAAGAGTGCTACAAAGGTCGCCGGAATGATAATAAGCGGCTTTCGATAGGCCTCAACGTCCTGGCATGAGGCGCTTGCCTGAGTCATGCTCTGCACGTGTGCGTGGGTGTTTGTGTATTTTTATAATACGTGTCGAGAAGCAGACATGATTTGCTTGCCCAAATTGCTAACCCTGATGGATGCGTTACGACACATGATGTGTTTGTCAACGTCACAACTGAGCCTGTTTAGTCTTATTATACTAATCTGATGTATGAACTTCAGGAAAAAAAACGTCTTACAAAATTAGAAGCTGAGGAGCAGGCAGAATTGTTGTGTTTAATCTTGTGTCCACCGAGGAATTAATCTTCTTTTGTAAGGCCTTAACATGTCAGAAAACTCTCAGGTTTTGCACAAGCGTTTATGCAATCGGTGAAAATCCACATTAGAGAGGCTGTATATTTTTTTTTCCAGAGTTTTAGTCTTCCACATGCTTTAAATACATTCAAACATTTTATTGAGGCACACTTAAACTCTTTAAAGTACACTTTTTAAAGTGTTCCTTTGCGCCTGTTCCTGCTTTCTTGCTGTCAAGAAATAGAAGGTTACAGTATTTGTACAACATCACTTTGAGGAAATGAAAACAAGATGCCAACCATGCTGGCTTCAATTTGTTAGTGTCACTCGAAGCTGAATTATTTCGCTGTGAAAGTGACCCAAGAAACCAAATCTGGCATATGACTGTTACCGACAGAGAGATCTGTCATGGATGTTTTCCAGTGGGTCGTCGTGGAAGAGCTTATGTGTGAAATTGCGATTTTTAAACTAGTGCAATGACAAATAGATCTCTGTAGATGGCACTGTTGCATCACTTTGGATTGGAGATCAGCAGAGCTTTTGTGGAGAGGATCAAGATTAGGCAGTGATCCTTGGATTATTAATTAGAGAGAAACATCAACACGTTTAGGGACTTCACATTCCAACAGAGTACAGTATGTTTATGTATGGGCATTGCAGTCTTGAGAAAAGATGACGCCGCTCATGCAGTGAATGGTGAACGTCATGTAAGGACGTGCAACGAGCCGTGTGCTGAGTCAGGGTTGTGTCATGGCGTGTTTCATAGTTCTTATTTGTTTTCATCCGCCCCTACACACATTCCCGGCACCTCAGGTCTGCGGACCAGACATTATTAGAAGTACCAAGAACTAAACGGAGGCTCAGAGGGGATCGAGCCTTTTCTGTTGCTGGTCTCTCTCTCTGGAATGACCTCCCACTGAACATTCGGCAAGCCTCCTCGCTGCCCATCTTCAAAACCCGCCTCAAAACTCACTTGTATTCTTTGGCATTTGACTCAGCATGATTTAGATTTGTTCTTGGTTTTGCTGTTCGGTGCTTTCTACCGTCTTTATTACCGATGTGCTTTACTGTTTGTTGTATATGTTAAATTGCTCCATGTACAGCACTTTGTATGCAGCGATGGCTGTTTGAAAGTGCTCTATAAATACAGTTGAGTTGAGTTGAGTATATCTGTTCATCAAAGGTTATATTGTCATCAAAGCCCTTTCTCAGTTTTTGTTTTGTTCTTTATGTAGTCCCCCCCAAAAATTATGTAAAAATCATGTTTCTTTTCAAACGCATGAAGTGATGATATCACAACAGAAGCGAGCAGGTACGTCGTCGTGGTTTATTAGTTACGGAATGGAAGCAGACGCTTACGAATCGAACTCGCGCCAGCTATTTGCATGCCCTCCCCCACCTGAATCCAGAGTCAATTATGCGGCGCCCTCGCCTCCTGGCGTGCTCTGCTGCGGCGAGATTCAAAGCGGGAACTAATCCGAGCCGACTGGAGGTCACGGTCACACGGCGAGCCGGGTAATTGTGAGCCGCCCGATCTGGCGAGGGATCCGAGTTGACTGTCAGGCAGCCCTCGGCTCGTATCTTCAATTGGGTTCGCGTCGATCCGATGCCTCCCGTCGAGAAGAAAACATACAAAGATCTATAAAATATTTGCGGTAACTTGAAACAAACAAACAAAAAAAAAAACGTGAGTTGTGTTGTCATGGCAAGTGAGGGACTCTCAAGTCGGCCCTTAGCACACGGCGGAACCCGTTTGGTAAGGGCGCCAACGGTGAAGCACGATATGTCAGGGCTCCCCTTTAAATATGGCCGCTGTCAAACGCGTTCGGCGTGTGGGCGAAGCAACAGCTGCGCAACGTGAGCGCGTTTCGAGCCATCGCCAACGCGATGGGGTGAAATGAACCGAGAGCAGATGTTCTCATCGGTAGGTTTGCCCATCACCTTCGCTCACGGCCGCCTTCAGAGGTCAGCACGCTAATCATCGGCCTCATTAGACCCCCCCGTCACCCAAAAAGAAAAAAACTCCCACCTGGTCCTCCTGTTCCGTCATTCACCTTCAGGCCGACTGCTCGCAACTTCCTGCGCGTCCTCGTTCGTTGCAAACTCCAAAAATCTCACGTCCATGGCAGTTGCTCGCTTATTGGCGCGTGTCCATCGTCAAAATCAAAAGAGTAAGCGTGAAGTTCTCCCAAGCGCAGTCGTCCTAAAAAGTCTTTGACGACGGTAACGTTTCCAAATATTTTCTGGAAGAAACAAACATTGCATTGACAAGACAGCAAACTTGTTGATGAATCAGCTCCGAGCGACCAAGATGGAAACAATTGGTGTGTACTACATAAATTAGCTTGTTTAGGAATTTAAATCCATGCAAGGGATTCATTTTAATGCATTTCCATCCACGTCAATGGCGAAAGTCCTGAGTTACGCACGAACAAATTAATAGTCCCCTGTCTCCAGGCACCAACTGCAAACAAACCACTTGGCTTTGCCGCCAATGTTTCAAATCAAGTATGATTGACTTGTCGCGAAGCGATGTCAACGCTGTCGGATGTGAGAACCGGAGCAAAGTAGCCCCCGGAGACGCACGTTTGCGCACCCGAAAAAGGGGAAAAGAATCATCAGAGCGAGCGAGCGCTGATAAACATCACGCGCTCTCCGAGGGAAGCCGGCAGACAAAGACGGATCGGCCTTATCGTCCGAAACGGCAAACACGCGTGACAGCTTGATTTAAGAAGTCCTGAGATAATTAACACCTCGCCCGCCACGGTGGGCTGACAGCAAAGGACGAATGACGACGCCGGCCGGCCGCCCGGCCGGCTGCGCCGCAACAGCGACAAAAGCACACAAAGGCCTCATTTCACCGCATTGTTTTCGTTTCAAGGCTTTGACAATGTTATGCTGCCGGTATCCACACTCGGTAGTTGCCATTGTCTCGGTCCAATTACAACGTGCGCTAAATGTTTCATGTTTCAAACAATCGACAAACCAGGTTTTTACCCACAGCTTTGGCGTCACAAACACGAATGTATCTTTCCAGAGCCATTGGGGGAACCGTGCCACCATGGTTAGATTCATTCTGCATTCTGTGATCAAGCTCGCTATAGCAAACCAATTTTCGCAAATGAAATGAATTGAAATGCCATTTAGCCCCCCCAACAGCCCAAAATCATCACAATTTCGCGAGCCCTTGGCCATGAATTGTGGTCCACAGCAGCACCTTGTGAGTCTTCTCATTTTGTATTTGTGTGTGTGATTATTTTTGCCAGAAGTGCAGCGATGACACCGGCTTTCTTTGCCCACATGCGAGGGCATTCCAGTAGCTTCATACTTCCATTTTTTTTTTTTTTTATTCTCACCTGACTCGAGCGTTGTTCTATCTAAAGCTTGCTCATGACTCAAATTTTGCAGAATGTTGTCCAAAAAAATGGACCCAGCAATGTCTCTTAACTCAAACCACTCGTAAGTTGCAAAAATCGCAAAGACGATCGGTAAAGTTGTTCAAAACTCTCTAAACAAAGAAAAGAAGTTTGAAATTTCTTTCTTTTAAGTGGACGACTGCTTTTAAAGCTGCTATTGTATATTGGAAAGTGGGACAAAGTAAGCGCAAAAAAAGAAACAAACAAAAGGCAGTAAGGAAGAAAGCAAGGGAAAAGGAGAATCAAGTATCAAGTACAACTTTATTGTCATTCAGGCCAATCACGAAGGCCAGAAGGAAGAAAAGGAAACACAGACAGCGTGCTGGGTGTGTGGTTACGACGACTGCCTCACACTTGCAGAGTCTCCGGTTCTCATCCTTGCTTTGGATGGATGCAAAAAAAAAAAAGAGACAAAAAAGTAATGAGGAAGGAGAGAAGAACAAGAATGTCGGTCGGAGGGGAAGAAAGCTAACAAGCGAAGAAATAAATTACTCGTGGAAAAGAATGGAAGCCAAAAAGAAGAGGTTTTAGATCGTTGCCTTCGTCGTCACGGATATTTTTGACCAAGGCAAAAGGAATACTTTTGATTGGGATCAACTAAAATAATTAAGGTTTTGAAAGCAAAAATAAATATTTAATTGTAACAAGAACACCCCCCCCCCCCGCCCTCAGTGTGGAGGAG